TAAAACAACATCTGCCTTTAGTTTTTTAAGCTGGTTAAATATCTTTAACGTCTTCTCTCTTTAACGTCTTCTCAATAACTGTAACAGTTAGTTTCTCATTCATTTTTCATTTGTTCCTTGGTAACTAATCATAAATCGTTTACCTAATTGTAAAGTGTAACTGTAAAGAAACCTAACTTGTTTCACTCTTATAAGCAGGGAGGCGCCCGCTAACTGGGCAGACATCGGCCAACATTTTCCTTGTTTACTGCCACTTGCCAATAAGGAAATGATATCCATTGATGTTAGTGGCCATTGAGAAAAACAAAACAAACAAAAAAGGGTATAGATATCAATTATTGGCCAAACTGTTATTTTCAACAAGAATGTGTCAGTAAGTCAATATTGGCTAAGCAGAGCAACACTGGCATACTATATGTTATCCACTATGCAACAAATATGAAAACAATGCAGAAAAGATGCTTAAGATAATTTAGAAGATAAAACAGCAGCTCTGATTCATGCTTCTATTCTCAAAACAGTTTAATGTAATTGCAGCAGAGTGCAAATCACAGCTAAGCAAACTGTGTGGAATAATAGAATATCTGTTTAGTCAGAACTAATTATTGACTACTGATAAAAATCGCTATCAGCCACAAATATCTGCTTTCAATTTCTGCCATAATGGCCATGGTTTCATAGTCTGGGAATGGGTAATGAACACACTTGTGTCTTTCAGCTGTACAGACTTACAGTATTTACCATTTTACAGTATCTTCATTCTAAGTTCTGTCTAAGTTAATATAAGGCCAGGATAACAGGTCCTCTTGATTGCTGACAAAACGTTGATAGTAGAGGTACAAAAAGTACAAAAATGCACTCAAAGACAGAAAGTAAAAAGTAGCAGTTTGAAGGACAATACCAGCTGTTCTTTTGCAAAGTTAACTTATACAGCATGATCAATCATGGAGACAAACTTTTTTTGGCTTTGCCTCCACAACTAAACAGAAAAAAATAATACTATATTCAATGGTTAAAGGAGGTGGGGAACCCTAAGATCAGTCCATGAACACCACAGCCACTGGGCACCAGTCCATCCAAGTACTTTACTATAAATTCACCACAGCAGGGCAACCTAACCTGTTTACCTACACTAAACTGCGGGGGATTTTCATGCAACTTTTGAATGACAAAGTTAGTATACTAACTTTAATAGTGCGCGTGCGCCAACCAGCGTGCAGCCTGTTACAGTCGCTCCTGCTTTTCTCTTAGTTTAGCTCTTTTTTCTTACGTATTCTTTTTTTCTGACTTGTATTTTCATCCGTTTTCTATCTCTTACTCAATCATGTGGATTGAGAGAGTTTTTGTTCTTCTGGTGGCCGTGGAACTGTTACTTTTATCAAGGAACGGGACCGCGGCACATCTCCTACACTCACGGACTGTTTACTCCAGAGATCAGCT